GACCTTCCTTTTTGTGTTTGATACTTCTTTTATATGCTGTCTCACAGTGACAGGAAGTATTTATATTTACCAAACAAGAAAGTACAAATATAATACAAATTGTTTCCATAATTTTTGTTTTGTTAGAATAATTTTTGTAAAACCATAATCACTAATGATGGGTCCTAAAATTGCTCTCTCAAGCTAAGTCACTAAAGGGAAATAGTTCACTGGTTCCTAACAGAAGAGACACCATATAAAACGAAGGACATAATTACTCAGAAAGACCTTGGTTGCTTCATTCACACTGCCTGTAAGAAACTCTTTTCAGAGATATCAAGGACTGATAATATGCTCTCAATGTAACTCTTCCTCAGCATAGCTAGAGCTTAAGGGTATTTACCCTTGCTGTAATCTCAAACACTACTGGACTGAACGTATGCTACTCCCTGTAACTTGGGTAGCAATTGGCAGTGGCATTGAGTTCCCCTTCTGTACTCTCCCACCAAGCATAACAATGAAACAGTGGATTTTCTGGTTGCATCTCCATTCCCTAGTTCACTGAATGACATTGAGTTGTATCAGAAAGGAATTTGACAGATAGAAAAGGTGGTAATTTGACAGAGTGGGCTATTTCTGAGGAGTGGAGTTTTAGCACAGAGTAGTCGGGTTGGAAAGGCTGTGATTTCTTGTAATGCCAAGGAGAGCAGATTCACACACTGAGCTGATGCTGCAGTGCTCTTGCACTCCACTGTTCTTAGTGCTGTGTCTTCTAATAACAAAAGCATGGCATGGTACCTTGGGGCTCTCCAGCTGAGCAGGGTGGCCAAGGGCACGAGTCTTCTCTGCTTCCAGTTGTGCTGGCTGGAAAACTACTGCTCCCTATTGCATATCACAGCATCTTTGCTGTAGGTGTTGGTCCTCCTTGACCCATCAGAGCTCAGTGATCTGCCTGGGTGACCATTTCCTAGTCTGGCTCAGTTCACAGAGGCAGGATAGACTAAAGGCCTTTAGAGAATGTCTTTACTGACCTAGCTCTTCCTAACATACATAAGCTAGAGATTACTTCCATGTGCAGCATATATGGCAAAATCAAGGGGTGTCCAATAATGGGATGATATCTTTGGGTCAGAAGAGAAGGTGTGTGCAAGATATAATGTATTCTGGCTGACCACTTAAGTTATTCTTCCCTCTACAAGCCGTACCATCCATTTTGGTCAGATAACTTGTCTTTGGAAGATAACTTCCCTTAGACCCATGCTTGACCCTAAGCACTTTGTCCCTCTGTGTCACTTTCCACCTTTTCATTCGGTTTTTCTTTTTCATGTATGTTTAAATTGTAACCTTCTTGGAAGAAAGTGTCTGTGTTTTCACAGTGCCAAGCAAAACAAAGCCCTCATCTTGTTCAGGACCTTCAGTTTCTGCTGAAATCAGTAATGAGGTTTTGTGTGAGCCATTGCCTAGAGACTTCTAGGTTTGCCTACACAGTTGCTATGGTGCATCTTGGCCAAATTGTTGTTTGTAAAGCAATTTTGCCTCTAATATAAAAGGCACTGTATAAAATCAGTTCCTATTATCTTTTCATAGAGAGTTTTCTATCCGAATTGTACACGTGGAATTGCTGACTGTCTCCTTAAACACTTCCAGATAATAAGGATACATGTTCTTCCACCTAATACATATCATTACTTCTTATCAAGCAAGGCTTGCTTTATAGATGTAGAAATAATATGATTTACTGGCCTGCAGCCAATCAGTTAATTACCTGCTAGTTACTTAGAGCACCAGGGGCTTTGGTTCATTGCAGTGTAAGTTATTAACTTGCTGGTAAAGGATCAGTACCTCATAAATATTTTCTCTAAATAACTTTCCAATGCTGCTGAAGTTTAATTATTTTATTATGATTATTTATTCCTATCTATGATAATGTGTGGGGGACAGCTTTAAATTGAAGTCATGTAAGGCAACTATTGTGATTTGAGATACCAAATAGCAGCCCCATATCCATGTGTACAAGTGTGATAGACCTGTTACTTAGGCAGCTTCAGGTCTTTGGGAGAGTCTCAGTGGTTTTACATGAACCAGACTGATGGAAGACTGACTTGTTTTGTAGCATTTGGGGGGTTTTGGTGATGTTGTTTTAAAACAAGATCAGGTGAAGAGATCTTAGGCCAGGCTTCACTTGTGGTAAGTCCATTGAGATAATTTACAATAGTTAAAACTCTGGTTGTCTTAAAGTAAGACAGGTAATAGCCTCTTTCATCTCCCTTTCTCTGTATTTCATCCCTTCTTTTTGTTTTCTCAGAAGTTATAAGCCACTTGCTTAAAGTGGGGGAGAACAGATGTAAAAATCACTGTTCCAGGAAGGAAGAAACCAGGGCTGTCTTTGCTTGGGAAGCATCCTTTGGGAAGGTTCCGTACCCAACGTTAGCAAATAATTTTTCTGTGGTGGTGAGGCACTGGAATAGGTTGCCCAGGGAGGTTGTGAATGCTCCATCCCTGGTGGTGTTCAAGGCCAGGTTGGACGAGGCCTTGGGTGACATCGTTTAGAGCAAGGTGTCCCTGCCCATGGCAGGGGGGTTGGAACTTGATGATCTTAAGGTCCTTTCCAACCCTAACTATTCTGTGATTCTATGATTCTTACAGTTTTGACTATGAGTGCCTCCATTGGTTAATTGCTTTTGTAGCTCAAGGAGAGAGAAGAGATTCTGTAACTGCTTAAGTCCTAGGCTTTACTTAGATGCCTTATATCTGCTAAATGAACTGATGGACATGGCAGCTAATTTAAGGACAGGTATTATATACTCTTCTTGCAATAAGCTATTGCTAAATTCTGTGTGACCTGAACTCCCTGAGAGAATTTAACAAATATGCCAAGGTGAAAGGAATTACATTAATCCAGTTTAAGGTGAAAGAAATCACGTTAATCCAGTTTCAACTGCAACGTCAAGTGAGAGGAGAAGTTAAAAGCTTCCAATCAAACAGATTGGATAAAAAGGGTTGTTGTTCTTGTCTTGTGATGTTTACATTCATCAGGATGGATGAGGAACCTGGCAAGAGCCCAGCACAGTGATTAACCATTGTAAGTGGCTGCCCAGCTACCATAATTTAGAAATGGTCCCACTTAGTGGAATTTGTCAGGACCAAATCTGCTTGACCTTGGGTTGTTAATATGGGTTTGGAGGGTGGCTGAAAGACTGGGTGAAGTAAGACAAGGAGACAGAGAAGAACATGGTCTGCCCAAGACTCTGATTGCCATAGTGTGTAGTTGTGATACTATGAAGAGAGCAGGCGTCACAGGAGCAGTGCTAGAAGAGATACGGAGGAGTGCAGTGCTTGTTCTCCTGCCCTGCACATCCTTGCTGCCTGCAGGAAAAAAGCTGCTGTACCCAAAGCTACCTGTGATGAACTGGTATCTTTTGTGCTGTCCTTTTGTCCAAAAAGCCTCATCCGAGGTCACATGGTACTGCATGGTGGATATACACACACGGAACTTCCCCTGTTGTGGGAGTTTGGCAGCTAAGTAAGAAAGAACAGCTCAAAGATGGGAGCAGGTGTAGAGACAAACTTTGTTGTCCCAGTTTGCATGGGCTGGCTAAGCTAGGGACATAAGTGACTGTCCTCCTAATGAGTGCCAAAAGGAAAACTGTAGGTTTGTATCACTGCTGAGAGGTCATTGTAACTGAGAAATAAACACCAGAGCAAAGCAGCTTTAGCTGAAAATTGGATTCTCAGCAGCAGGAAGTGCCTGACCTGAGTTTTTGTACCTTTTTTTCCCCAGTACTTGGGTAGGCTGTTCCTTTCTTTGTCTTTCCTCTTTTTCTTCTCCTTCCTTCCGATCCTCTGATTTCCAGCCCTCTTGGGTATACCAGTTGGTCAGTCTTTGCCTGCAGACCTGGAAAGAACATCCTGCTGTAGTATAGAAGCTACAGCTTCTTTTATCTTTTGTGCTGTGCTTATCTAACTTGTGCATCTCAGAGCAAAACTGATAAAGGCTGCTAAGACAAGATGGTCATTTTCAATCTTTAACAGCTTATCATCTTTAATAAAGTCTCATGAAAGAACTGTGTATTTAGTTATCTAGTGATTTATAGGGATGCTTATGAATAAAATATACCAAGTTATGCCTGATTTTGTAATATTATTCAGCTTCTCTCTTTTCTCTGACTTAAGTCTATGCAAACAAAGGGATTGCAGATAAACTGTGCTTGTTTAAAATCAATTGGCACGTACCCTTTGTGGTCTGCAGGTTATGTGGAAGCATGGAAAATTATTGTGGTTTTGTTCCTTTTGTACCAGCATAGGTCAAGATTTAAAGCCAAGACCTAACCCACCTGCTTTATATGAGATGATTCAAACAGTCTGTGGAACAGCATAGGAGCCGTTGTCATAGAATTGTAGAATAGTTTGGGTTGGAAGGGACCTGCAAAGGTCATCTAGTCCAAGATGACTTTGGACTGCAATGAGCAGGTCCATCTTCAACTAGATCAGGTTGTCCAGAACCACATTCATCCTGGCCTTGAATGTAGCAGAGTGTTCATTTGTGTGTCATAGGAGGGGAAGAAAAGAGAGAAAACGGGTATTGTCATACCTAACTAATTTTTTTGCCCCAGTTTTCATGCAGGTCATCGGTGAGCAGATTGCTAGGTTTCAATTCCTACCTGTTCAGAGAAGCACATACCCATCCATGGAGGATGGGCCCTTTCCAGGTTTTGAATACTTGCCCCCATGTGGTTAAGCTGATGGGGAGTAGGTTAAGATAGATAGAAATAAGCTGTTTGTGCAGTACAATGGCATAGTCAGATGAAGATTAGACTAGTCAGATAAAATCATCTCAAATGTCTATTTAGAGAAACAAGGGAAGCAGTCAAGTATAGGAAGATAAAAGCCATGTGAGATTTCAACTTTTTTCCCTATGCTGCAGTGAACAATTGAGATTACACAGAAATGTCAGTAATGGAGTAACTGGTTGTGTTTGTTTATAATGCCAATGCATTGATGCTCTATTTCTTCACTTGCAGCTGCACTGAGAGCTTGTGCTGATGGAGGTGCCAATCGTCTCTATCACATCACAGAAGGAAGCCAGGACAGGTATGTTAACAGTAAACTTGAAGCTATTGAAGTCATCTCAATGAAAGTAACATATGGAGGAGCACTTACTGAAGCAGCTGCCTGCTCTGTGCTTGATACTTTAACAAACTGTGGCAGGCAGTATAATATTTTCTCCACATTAACTTTTATTCCCAGCCACACTTTCTAAAAGCACACAGATAGCCTCAGATACCTTTTTTCCCTAAGCCCACTGGTCTTTTTTCTGCTTGAAACCTCTGCTCTAGGACTGTCTTATTTTATACATCCATCAGAACTAGGCCTTTGATGCAGCCTCAGCAAAAACTTTCTGTGCCCTTAGCAAGGGTTGACTAGAGGAGCATGCGATGGCTCTTACCTAAGGCTGAAACAGAGTATATCCTCTTCATTCTTCTTGTGAGGCCCTAGAGGAATTCTGCTTTGTCAACTGAGATGGGTAATAAACTAGGAAGTCTACTTTTCTTTTTGAATTGTTTCTAAATAAGCATCAGGGCACTGTGCATGACTAAAGGCAAGTGCAGATGTTATCTATAAATGTATATGCTGGGTGAGGAAGCATGACTGAAAGGAGAATATGTTCTTGTTTTCTGTAATGCCCTTTAAATTACAAATTCTCCTAGGTTTCTGCCCCAGAAGTGTTGAGTTGGGCTTGTGATGCTAAATACTGCACTGAAGTCCTTTCTCATTTTTGTAGCGGAGCCATGGAACACTGTGTGATCTGAGGGTACTAAGGATCTTTTGCATGCCTTTAGGATTTTCAGTTGTTTGGAGCAGGAATTCATAAATAAATTGCTTAATAAAAGAAAATAAATGAATAAAGCTGACTTTCAGGGCAAAGGCATGAGACAGGTAATTGGTAGAACTTACAAATGTATGAACAGTTTTGTTCATGCAGCAGAATCTGACACGTATTTTGTGTTTCATCTCATGGCAAGTGTATGACAGAGGCCAGGGAAAGCTCTGTTTCTTCGTGTCCTTCAGAGTAAAGAGCAGAGTTGGAGAGGAAGACTGTAGTCTTAAAGTAAAAGTTAATATCTTTTGCTTTGTCACTTGTGAGAAGTTTGATGGCTGAGTTCTACTCCCGATAAAACGTAGACTGGAGTCTGTCAGGCACTAGTAACTGTTGTAGTAGTATTCCTTCAGTAATCTTCTGTTTCTCTTCTCCTAGTATTTGCTAACAGAGCCATGCACAACTTAATGTTGAGTTCAAACAGAAATGTGATTGACTTACAGCAAGTAGTTCTAATATCTGATAATGGTGATGCTTTCTGACGAACAACATTTTAGAGCTTTCATTTTACCTCCTCCTGTAACTCATTCATCTCTTCTGCAGATCTTTATGTTCGTATTAAACAAATATAATTCAGAGGAAATGGATGATTATACCTTGACTGACTAGCTCTTTCAGTTTTGCATACTTGGCCCTTGGAGTATTCTTTTTCTCTGTCTTTCTTTTTCTCATCCTAATTGCTTTGGGTAGGTATATTTTACCTTCAAAGTGATTCTTTTGAAGCAAAAAAAAAACCCTGCATAATTTTGATTTTTGTCTTCAAAGAAATCATCCTGCTGGAAAGAATATTCATTTACTTCTCTCAAGTGTTTTCCTTTAAATTCCCTGTCATTAAAGAGCTTTCTGCTCAGGCTCTACTCACATGCTGATCATTTTTTAATGCTTCCTTAACCTTATGTTTAAAACTATTTTACTTGAAGCCCTGATACCTAATGGTGTTGTATCAAAACCTAAAACCTATAGTCCTTTAATTCTGGAGAGATTACTGTATCGGAGAGAGGTATATAAAGAACTTGATTGATATTTTGGACTTGATGCTCAGTGACACCGAAGTGTGGGAAGAGTCTTTTGGAATGGGAATAAATGACAACATTCTGGGGAAAGGTCAGCTGGAAATAGCACTGTTAGAGGGGTGTCTTCCTCTGGAGACAAGTATTTGTTGCTGTTTTGAACAGTTGATCCATTTCCAAATCCTAGAAAGATGTAGGGCTAGAAATGACCTCAAGAGATCCATCCTCCTTTCCCTCTGCTTCAAGGTGAAGGAATATTCCTGATGCGTACCTAGTTAGTTGGTTCTTACAACTCTTCAAGCGGGAGCCCCCCCCATCTCCCTTTTCTCTGCTTTAGGGTAAAATATGCCCAGCTTGTTTGGTCTTTCTTTATTGGTCTTCTCTTTGCTTTTATTGGCCTCTCTTCAGTTACTTCATAACTATATCTTAAAGCGCTGTGGCTGAAGCTAGGCAAGATGCTCTACAGGAGACTTGTTCAGTGCTGAACAATTCTTTAACTTGCTTCTCATGTTAAGACTGTCTATGCTGTTCAATGAAGAGCAGCAAGAGTAGATTTGAGGGCCCCTCATTTCCTGCCTCCATAATTTTCCTGTTTTCTCCATCGTGTCTTGACTTGTTTCTGTGCTGGAGTGATCCATCTATTGCCATCAAGCAAAGGAAGCTCTCACCTTCCTCTCTAGAACTGTGCAGGCTGGCTTAGCAGTGTGACTTCCAGTCATGATATTAATCTATGTAGTGCTTATATATCTTCTTCTATGCTTGTGGTGTCATTTTTGTCATGTGTTTGGTTGGTTTTCCTGTTAGTCTCCATAAATACTAGCTTAAAACTAAACCTTAATTCCAATTATTCTTGCTTAAAAGCAAACAAACAAACCCAAGAAACCTTTGTTCTTGTAACTACTGATGGGGAGAAATTGTGCTGTTTTTTTTCAGTGATGTGCTAAAAAAAATGCCTTCTAGAGAAGGAGTAGTAGGATGAATAACCAAAAGGGCAGGATAATTTTCCTAAGAGAAGCCCATCCTTGGGAGCTGTCAGTGTTGGGGACAGAGGAAAGGCAGCAGGGAAGAAGGGATGGACTCTGTGCTCTGCTGCATTTCTCTTGCTGGCTTTAGAGCCCAGAAAGGTTATTTACACTATGTCTTGTCTTTATTAATGTCAGTTCCCACTCAAAAATAAGGACTGTTGCTAAACCATTCTTGATTGCTAAACATTTGCAGCTAATGAGAGTTAAGGGTGAGTTACTGATCTTTATGGGATTTGTTTTGCTCTGCCTTATTCTGCCTGCCTTGCCTACCCTGTTGTGTATTTCCTTGAACCCCTGTGAAGCACTTACCCACTTCAGCTAGGTTGTTGCTTATCTGTATCACACTACAGTGACTTCTTTCTCAACACTTTCTGATTAAATCTTAAGGCATTGATTAACCTGTGTGTCACTTGCTTTGGGGTATATGAAGGTGAAGATGCATTGAGAACTATCATTGTATTGGCACCTGTAAAAGCAATCATTAGAACTTGTGTCTCAGCTGCTGTTTTCTAGAGAGATGTCAAATACATCATGTACTCAGGTTTTGCAAGACAAAGAGCTTCAGGTTAGAGGGGTCCAGTGAGCCTTATAAGAGGAAGGATAATCCTGTCATAAATACTGGCTTTCTGGGGTTCTGTTCAGTATTTCACTGGCAGATGTACTACATGAGGTGGATTGCTTACAATCACTGAGAACATCACTTTTGCTACCCTTCCAGTTTCTTTCTGTGAACAGTATAAAGGCAAAGAGTAGCAGTGAAACTGAAAAGTGGTGGTATATTTTGATGTTGCGTTTTCTACATGTAAAACATACATGAGGTGAACTTAAGTGATGCATGGAAATGCAGTATAGTGCATTTACAATTGCAAATGCAATTACAGTATAATTCTTCTCTGTACTGGACATGCAGGGAGGCAGCTCCAGGAAGCTCTACATGTGTGTTTGGAAATTAGGAACAAATTCCATAAACACTTCCAGTTCATGCAGCTGCTAAAGTTCAAACATGGACCTGAAAAAAATCATTTGGGAAGTAACTTCCATTCAGGAGTACAGATTGCTGCATGAAGTTTGTCTTTTGATGACGCCCCTCCACCCCCAAGATTCTAAATAAGCCGTAGCTATTTAGTCAAAACTAATCAAGGGTATTGGTTATACAAGGTGATGCTACTTCTTTAACTTGGATTTGACAGACTGTTCTGTGTCCTAAGCTTTGTGTTGAGAAGCTGAAGTGGAAAACAGAGGTCTTAATTGTGCAGCTTTTACAGCTTACACTTAACTGAGTTTTGTATCACTGAATAAATGTAGGCATATAATAAAAGTTTCAATGGTGACTACTCTTGAGGAGTTTCTTCTTGTCCACATGCCTGGAAATGGTTTCCAGGATTAGCTACTCCATTACCTTCCCTGGAACTGAGATAGGGCTAAGCAGCCTGTAGTTCTCAGAGTTCTCCTTCTTGGCCTCTTGAAGACAGGAATGATGTTTGCTCTCCTCCAGTCTTTGTGTGTTTCTGCCAGTTGCCATGATTGCTAAAGGTTTGTCAAGTATGGCCTTGCAATGGCATCTGCCAGCTCCCTCCACACTCGCGTGCATCCCATCTGCACATATGGATTTTTATGTGCCATTTTACTTAAGTATTCCCTGACCTGATCCTTTTCCACCAAGAGTACATCTTCCTTACTCTAGCCTTTCCCCCTGTCTCTGGTGCCTGTGATTCCTGCAGGCTTGTCTTGCTAATAAAGACTGAGGTGGCATTCAGTACCTCGGCCTTTTCCATGTTCTGTGTAACCAGGTCCCCTGTCATATTAAGCAATGGGCCCATGTTTTAACTAATCTTCCTTTCATCACCTGTGTACTAACAGAAGCCCTTCGTGTTGTCTTTGGCATCCGTGGCCTAACTTCATCCATCCCCAGGCAAAGCTCCGTGCACTCTCGCTGCTCTCTCCTGTGAAGGGCAGCTGCTCTTCATCATCTTCCCATCCTGTCCTTCCTAAGAAGTCTTCATCCCCTCATGGTAACTCTGCATCCCCTCATGGTAACACTCCATCCATGTTTTCTTGATCTCAACAAGACTGTAGCTCTGCAACTGCACACAGATCTGTGACTCGTCATTTTCTGCCATGCTGAATGCATTCTCCAGGGCTTTATTTTGCCTCAAAAGTTTGAAAAGGAATCAATAG